TCTAATGTCCACTTTAGAGGCACAATAAATCAAACAAGTGAGCTGTGCAATACATATTCTGTCCAAAAAAGACATGTAAAGAAAGAGCAAATTTGGTATGGCATTGCATTTCACGTTAGCACAAAAGCAGGCAGATAAGTTATGTCGGTTAAAGAAGCAGTATGGTTATAACATGACACCATTATTTGTGTTTAAATGATCAGTGATGCTCTTTTTTTTTTTTTTTTTGAATGAGAACCTTCTGAGATATTATCTCTTTCCACCCATCCATCCATCGTCCAATCAATATTCAAGTATAAAGTCCAACTGAAAATATCTTAGGACAATAAATAACATGTTTATTTGTGTGTCTGTGTCTGCAATTGTGCGCACACGCTTTTCAATTTTGCCTGTATTGAGCCTGCATTCACCATAAATGCTTTCTGTGACAATAGTGAATGAAAGCAGCTCCCTTGAAATGTTGGGATTCCTATTTGTGACCAGCGGGTGTGTCATCACTCTATTTTATCAGGCCATTTCACACTAGCTTGCATTCAATGAATATAATTCCTCTTTATCAAACATTTTACAGATAGCGGCCAGTGATATGGCCACACCTTTTATAACTCCGTATCACCACATTTGAGCATTGCCAAGTTTAGTAGTTTTTGTAAGACTTCAGCTTCAGTTAGGTGTAGAATTAATTTAGATGAAACCCAGTCTGTCGGGATGAGAGGTTTGCTGCAATACGACCTCGCACAGGTCACAGACAAAAAAAAAATAGTTTCAACATTAGATGTAGATTTATTTAAACTGTTGAGATCCCACCCAGACTAATAAACTTAACAATATGTCATGTTTTTGACAAATATATATAAAATGCCCCTTTTGAAAAGGTCAAGCTTTCCAGTATTTTTCCATTAGAGAATTCCTACTTGTTTTTATTATTCGTGGAAATTGAAAGGATTCCACACACAGTCATACCCACCAAATAATTTTGAAGGTAAACTGCAGTTTGCAGCTGTGTTTACACATAATTACCATCTCTAAGGCCAAGCAGACTAAATATATATTATAAAGAAGAGTGCAGAGAAGATAAACTGAAGACTTTGTGATATCTTTTTTCCTATCTTTCACAAAAAAGGGAGCGTGGTGTGATAATGAGCTTTTGTGATCTGCTGACCCAACCGTTTCAGAAGACTTCTGCTATTTCTGAGACCTGAAGGTCCCGCTGACACTCCTGAAATATTCGAAAACAGATCTTGAATGTTATTTCTATTTTTATCTCTTAACTGATTCAGATAAGCGAAAGCAAATTGCAGTCGTGAAAGCACCCACACAAACTGCAGTAGCTCAAACGACTTTGACAAGTGTTGAACTGGCTCAAAGAATAACAAGCCTGTTAATGTTTGTGGTGGCACTGTCACGCAAATGTCACAGCTACATTTAGAGTTGAAATACGAACACTTACACAACATCAAGACATCGAGTCTTAACAACAGTGTAACCTTAAAATAAGCCACTTATCAATGGATTTAAGAGTGGAAAATGCTTGTTTGATATGGAGCAGAAACATTGCATTCTGGAGTCATGGAAAAAGGTCATTTGGACTGAGTCGAGATTGATTCGGTTTCAGAGCATTACTGAAATCTAAGTGGAGAGGATATATTATATCTTGTGCCTACCATGCGTCTATGATGCTCATGCTGTAATTGAGATATTTTGAGTGTGATTTCTTTTTTTGTATTTATATTTTCTGAGACGTGGGTACAAATGGGGCACATTTGGTCCTTGTGTATGGTTATGCCCTTCTCTGTCCTACTGACATCTCAACACAAATGTATACGGAGCATGTGGTTCTACATGTTCTTATTTAAGATCATGTGATGACAAACTTTGATGACACTTCATTCTTGAATTACCGTTGTAAATATAGGGCAGTGCCATCATATTGGCACGTATTGTATAAAGTGAAGGAAAAAAAAAAGTCAATCGGACATCAATTGATCCGATAATCCCTGAATCAAAAGTTGATAAGGAGAGTGGCAATTTGCTCCGGGCTGTTTGCTTGAGCTTTAAAATTTCACTTTTAATCAGATTCTTGGCACGTTAATGGTTTTCTCATGTATCATTTCTACAGGGTCATTATATAAGAGTCAATACAATCAGCGAGCTCAATTTAGCTGGACATGCAAGCAGTTCTTTGCAGCCCACACTGGTATGATTCATTAATACATCGGAAATTAAATTCAGAGTTGCAATGTCCTTTTCCCTGTCTTCTAATCTAATCAACGAAACGACACACATTTCTAAATTCAATCAGCTTTAATCTGAGGGGGATACAGTTGCTTTCAAGAGGAACGGAAAAATATTTCTGTGACAGGAAAAGCACATTTTGAAAGGACACACACACACACACACACACACACACACACACACACACAAAGATTTACTTTAGAAAGATGAATAATTACATCTGGTGGGTCCATCAAGCACCATGGCAATCTTTCCAACAAAAGTACCACTGACCGCTGTGCTGCAACTCCAGTATGAAGTTTTCCAATCCATGGCTTTATATTGTTCTTAATCGGTTCATGAAAACAACTTACCTACATTCATATCTAACAGCTGCATACATAGTAAGGCAGCATATGAATCAAATACAATCATCTGATCATAATAAAATAGACTTTCGCCAGTCCTACACTAAATATTCATAATGTGGTTTGTATAGACTCGTCGACCATAGTCATTTTGTTGAATTTATGACTATACAGAGTGCACATTGGCCAGTCGCTAATCACATAGTTTTGGTTTGTCAAGGAGGCAGAGCCGCTTGCAGCAACTGACGATTGTGCTGAATAGAATTATTCCCTCAACTTAATTGATTAATTTTTGTCTTCTATTTATGAATGTGCAGCTTTGGTAAGTGAGTGAGAGTAAGTCAAGGGGAAGAAAATCCAGGCTTTTAAACAACTTTTCAGCCCACACTGTCGAGTAGAAAGAATGCAGTGAATTATTGAACCGCACACAAAAATGTCTTTAATTATTTGCAAACAACCCGGATTCTGACCATGTCGAGCCCAGTGCTGTGGTCGAGGAGAGGTTTTCCCATTTGACCAAGTTGTTCAAACGGTACCCGGTTGTCCCAGTGGCAAGCGCGCCAAATTGAGGGGAGGTTTTCTTTGGCTGGAAAGATCATCACGAGCCACCTTCATACTCTGGTGTTCTAGTGCGTTTATATTCTGCAAGGATGAGGTGTTCGTTGCCAATATAGATTCTTGCAAAGCATTCCTTCCTCCTGTTATTTATTCTTTTTTTTTTTTAAGTCCAGTCGTGTCTTGAAAAAATATCTGTGAAACCAACAGCGACCAGTCCAGTGGAGACCTGCAACCACTACTTCATATATTGGACAAACTACCACATGGAACAATTAATAGATTACAGATAAATTCTGGATATATTGAATGATATGCACTTAAGTTATGGAAACGCATACAAATTGCAATCAACTTATATTCAAACAGCTTTTAATTAATGATGTACACAAACTAAAAATCATCTGGATCCAAATACATCTTTTAAATCTATTTTGAAAAAAAAAAATCAAAATGCAACCACTTAAAAAATAATTGAAAAACTTGAATAACTTCAACACATCATTTTTTTTTTCAGTGTACATGCATTTTCCTTCAGTTATCAGTTCGTTTTGTCTGCATCCATTTTTTTATGTCCCAGTTAGGTTATATGCTTTCATATTAGTTCTGCCCACACTGCCTCTTTCGATCCATCCTCGGTTCTTGCCATTTCTTGGAATTTTCACTGTGATAGTCCTTCGCTCACAGGTTAGTGATTCACTCGCTTGGCTTCCTTTCAGGCCGCGTGGGTTCAATTCTCATCCCGTGGGAACTGTGAATGGTTGTCTGCCTCTATTTGTGCCCTGTCCAGGGTGTAGTCTACCCATTGCTTGAAGTCAGTGGGCATATGCACAAGCTCCTCAAGAGAATAAGTGGTATAGCAAATGAATGGGCAGAGTGTCCTTTTATGATGTTTCAAACTCCACTTTGGCTTGACATATTGCCATCCATCCGGATGGATGGATGGATGCATTTCAGATAATGGATGCATAAACATTATCTGAAACGCTTATTCTCACAAGGGTCGCGGCGTGCTGGAGCCTATCCCACCTGACTTCGGGCAATAGGCGGGGTACACCCTGAACTGGTTGCCAGCCCATGGCAGGGGAAACAAAGACGAACAACCATTAACACTCACAATCGCAACACAGGGCATTTTAGAGTGTTCTATTAACCTACCATGCATGTTTTTGGAATGTGGGTGGAAAACGGAGTACCCGGAGAACGAGGAGAACATGCAGGCTCCACCTAGGAACGCCGTGGGTGGAATCAAACCCCGGACCGCTGCACTGTGAGGCTGATGTGCGAACCAGTCGACCACCTTGCCACCCTATACTAAAACATATATGTGTAATATTTTAAAGAATGGCCATTTTAAAAAATGGGGATCGGTCTTTTCAGCTCACCATCCATACATCTTTACATCCAAACCATCTAGCAATCGATCCAAATGGCTGTTTCCATCCCAACACTCAACCCACTGATCTATCTATTGATCTATCAGTGGGCCTGTCCTTCCCTCCATCCATCCGTCCAGCCCATCCACCCATCCTGGATGCATCATTCCATCCATCCATTCATTGGTTTATCCATCCATGAGTCGGTCCGACCCGCCGTCCGGCCATGCATTTATCTAGCCATCTATCCCTCGATCCATTAGCTCAGGAGCTACCTGTGCACAAAGTATAATGGCGCTAAAATGTGTCATCGGAAAAGGTTTTGGTTTTACTGCAATTCATCACTGCAGTTTTTCGAATAAGAAGTTAGTATGTCAATAGTCTCGTTTGTGTGTGGACACCGAGAGCGCTCTCCAAGGTGCTGCATGCAGCCCCTCCCCTGCACGAGGGAGTCACGTGGATCGCAGTGTCTCTGGCTGCTCGCAGTCCGTGAACGAGCTCAACCGGGAAAGCACTCTGCACCTCTCTCTCCACCTCCACCAAAACTGGATTCTCACTCTTCCGCTCTTCACCCAAAACCTCACTGGTCTTTTTCAATATTGTTATTTTTTTATTTCTCTCTTTCCTTACGCGTTTTTTTAAGCTGAGGACACAGCGGAAGGAAGCGCGTTGAAGGTAAATGCCACCTTAAAAATAACTAGATGTAAAAGTGTAGAAGTGGCTTGTCTCCTCGCATGTTTTTTTTTTCCAGCACACATATTAGATAGATGTGAGATGTTTTTGGCCAACGTGTTTATGAGGTGGAGTCTTCGCCCTTGTCCTTTTTGCGCTAACTATATTAAGGGTCCGGTACAAGTCTACGGAGCGTAAGGAAGGTGATCGTAGCGCAACATTTGATTCCCCTTTTGCCCCTCGCCCTTAACACTGGTGTAAAAATGAAACAGAAATGCATTTGGATGCAAAATAACACTTCTGAGCTTCGTCGTCTGAAGCAGGATGTAAAGGCATGAGATGTGTAAACGATGCTGATGCCGTCGCTTTTGGAAAAAAAAAAACGCGCCTGGCGAGCATCGGAATGAACTGTTGTTAGTTAATAGCCTACCATTTTCGAAAACAAAACATATTATTTACTTCGCGTTTCCGTGAACGTGGCTGAATCTAAATCTACTGTGAACATAACGCTACCCTTTAATCATACAAGACGCAAATTGAGGTAACTGTGCGCATTTCGTTACACAAATCGCCTTTGTGAGCAAATGGCGCACTTTTTTCTTCAAGTGCGTGCTTTTTTTATTTATTTTTTTTATTCTGGCCAGTAATTCGCTTCATACAAAAGGATGAAAAAGTAAAATTGATGAAATTGCTGATTATAAAATATATGTTTTCTGATGGTGTTATTATAAAGTGAGTCCGCTACTCCACTTGTGCTTGTGCATAGTAATTGCTTTTTGCAAACACCCTAATGATCTATTTACTGCATCAAAGAGCACGTCCATGTTTGAAGCACACGTTCGCTTGGAAATATTGTATGAATGATGAGTAAGGGTGGCATGATGTGGGAATTACACAGAAAGCCGCGCATCGACGAAGATAGCTTGGTTAATACATCACAGCATAGTATATCAATCTTCAAAAAATATTTTAAAATGCCCCCTAGTGGCAGTGAGCTGTTTAAGGATGATCGAGGGAAGAGGTGATTTATGCCGGGCGGTGATCCCATGCCATTGTTGCTGCATCATCTTGCGTTTCATCTTCTTGTGGATAAGTCTTAACATTTCAGAGTGACTAAAAAGTAATTGCTTACTGCTCATGATAAATGTTTGATTCTTTAAGACTGAATCCACTGGCTGGTGGCACTGCTCTCAGGCAACGTAAATATGCAAGAATCATACAGTGGAACCTCAACGGTCAAATTTGTTTAAGATTGTTACTGTAGGAAATAACAATCCAAACATCACATGTATGTCTTGTCATTATTAGGGTCGTTTACAGGTAGGTCTTAAACCAGGTGACTTTGGATGAAGGGTGGGTTACTCCTTGGACTGTTTGTCAATGAAATACCAAAGAAATAATCGAATCTGAATTTATCTGTTCTGAAACTGTCACCATTATAAAAAAAATACAACTCAGGCAATTGTGTTAGTGACAATTTATCATTAACTCTCATTCAAGTGTAAAAATAAGTGAACCACTGTATAATAGTAAATTAAAGTGGGGTGAGGGATCATTTTAGGTCAGTTCACTTCACGTGTGCTTTGTGACATTCTTCACAGCCATACAACTGTTAAAAGAAGTCAGTGGCAGCATTTAAAAACTGAAAAACAAAAGCAAACTTCTGATATGTGATGGTCACGGTAACGGAATGTGCAGAGGGGGGACTATGGCTCGTTCTGGATGTGGGTCAATTTACTGTTATTTTGAATGTCTTGTACTGAGCAGCCAGGACAGAGACTTGTAGTGCTGTTGCGTGTAGGAATGAGTTGTGTGAGCTATGGTAAAATTACAAATTGTGTGACTTTCAGGGCATTTGAGGGTAGCGGTTCCGCTGCAATAGGGTACATATTTGTTTAGGCGGTCAATGCTTGTTTTTCCCATAGACACCATTTTTTGTTTCTCTAATTGTGAAGTATATAAAGGTACAGGCAAATGTAGACTTGGTTAAGGTGAAAGGCTGCTGCTGTACTGACACTTTGTTTCTTTTGCAGCGAACTTGCTTGGATGGACAGACTGCCTCTTTTGATGAGCTCATCAGCCAGTGTGTCTCCATATGGCTTATTTTCACTTTGTGAGAGAGGATGCGGGGTGAAAAGCCCACAGCAAGCCTTGCAGTTACCAGCCAAAACCATGTTGGCATGAACATGAAGATTAAGGCTCCAATCTCAACTCATGTGAAACCGTGCATTCTCTAACTGGCATCAGGAGGAGCTCTTCCATGATCACAAACAATTTTTGTGTTTGAAGCACTGTTAATTTGCTTTCCAGAGCCATGGCAGAGAGGACCTTGAAACAGATCAGATTATTTTGGCACAAACAGCCCAGGCAGTGCTAATATTTTTCTCTGTAACAAAATCAAATATTGTGCTTCGATTTGTCTGTTGTACAATGAGACCCTTAATTGTCTGCCTCTTCTCTGTCACAGTCAACTCACGACACTTATTGCTGAATCAAAACGTCCTATAAATACATTTAGCCATCTGCATAGATTAGCGTTCTCACAATGGTTTTACAAAAGCATCACAGTGCCCATTTGATTTGGGTTGGGCTGCTCATTTGTGGCTACGTAGAAGTTGGCACTTGCCTGGAGTTTACAGGTGCACAGGGACAGTGGGCTCGGTTCCCGGTTTGGAACGCGTGCTGTGAAAGTGAAATGAGTTTCAACATGAAAACAAAGAGCTCCCACGGGCTGCTGGTTTACTTTGACGACGAGGGATTTTGCGACTTTTTGGAACTCCTCTTACTGAACGGGAAACTCAGCCTTCGCTTTTCCATCTTCTGTGCCGAGCCCGCCTTCGTAATATCTGACACGGCGGTCAATGACAGCCAGTGGCACGCTGTCACCCTAAGGAGAAACTTTAAGAACACAACCCTGATGGTGGACAATGAGATCAAATGGGTGGAGGTGAAGTCCAAAAGACGGGATATGACAGTTTTCAGCCACATGTTCGTCGGCGGCATCCCGCCGGAGTTGCGATCGGTGGCGTTGCGGCTCACGTCTGCTGCCATCAGGGATCAGCCCCCTTTCACTGGTTGGATAACGGACATAAAGGTCAACAACACAGCATCTGCCATTGTGGACAGTGAAGGGGTCATAAAGGACCTGTGCGGTGCAGCCAACATCTGCTTAAATGGTGGACAGTGCAGTTTAATCAACAACAAACCTACCTGTGACTGCTCTCAAACCGGATTCCAAGGAACGGACTGCAGCGAAGGTAAGATATCTTGCATCCACTTTGACTTTACAAAATGTCTTCTGTAAAAAGCACCAACTTGAAACATTGAGTGATATTTGAAAATTCAAATTCCCCACAACATGGAGATATTTTCAAAAGTGAAACAATCCCTTCCTGTACGTCGTGAAGGCCATTTGTTCCAGTAATGGGATGTGTGCCATTGATCTGCTGTTGTTTGGAATGAGTGGATCTCCTGCTAGGCCTCATTAAGAAAAGACGCTGGTGCTCTCCATCCCCAAAGGTCTCCTTCCATTCCTATCCTACCAGTCCGCTGGGATTGGTTGACCTATGAAACGATCCCTCCTGTGCCTTCCATCAGATGCAAAAACCAAAATGTTTGATGTAGTCGAAGGATTAAATGATCAATATTCTTAATAAATACAACAATGTAAGATGCATAGAATCACACAAAATGGTGACGCAAGACAGTTATGATCTTGTCGATGGTGTGTATACAACGACACGAGTAAGAATCCAAATGCTGTCCCATAATGCACCATTGTTTTGACTACTACTCCTTCCGACACATGCATAATGAAAACATAATGCCTCTATGGATTCCAACCCAAGGAAATGGAAGTCCTCAATAGGTGGACCTCAGTCTAGATCTGCACCCAGATTCCTGTCTCTGCGGACCCAGACCTACAAATGTATTATTAGTTTGTTTTGGTGTCAGTTAATTCAACAAGTGAAACCACCCACTGCCTCCCCTGCCAAACGTGTTTTTTAAGCACCCCCAGCCGATCTCCCATGTAGTACGAGTCAGTCGTGAAGTGTCTGAGTTAAGTTGTCAATCAATCAAGAGCTGTTTTAATTTTAAATGCAAGCATAAAAAAAAATAACTTGCCCTCAATAATATATTTCATTACTAAAATTGAAATAATCAACATACCGTATATTTGTAATGCCATATAATTTTATCCAGACTAGACGAGATGTTTAATTCCTCCATCCAATTGACTTGTTGTTCAGGTTGATCAAATTTGAGATCGAGAAAGCAATGATTTTGCTTGATGCGATGGCATTGCCAGTCACATCCAATCTAATTGCTCTGAAGCCGATCTGATGATGTGCGGTGTGTACATTATAGTAAGAGGCAGACATTATAGACCTCAATTCACTTGGTCCTATTCAGGGGGTTTATATTCTAGACATATGTTCCTATTAGCCCTATTAAATGTTTGAATGTTAATTTTCCGGTAGGCTCATCCGAGCATGTAATATTTTGTTAACAATAAGCTCATTAGGTCAGGTTTAATTGACCTGTAACTGCAGCCCAAGTTGCTCTCACTGGATTGCCGATAGTTGGTGAGGCATATACAACTAATTAAAATGTCGTCCATGTAGCCTGCATGTTTGAGTTCCTGCTGGATTCCCATTTCTATGATTGGCCGACAACAACATGAGTGAACCTTCTGAACTGACTTCATGAATTCAGGGTGCTGTGGTTAATCCACTGGTTTACGGAGTGGAGCCGCATCTATTTGTCATTTCAAATTACTGGACATCAGTATAACAAAAATCTCAACAAAATTTTACAGCCTGCTCAGTCACATCATTTATTATTTATGTATGATGTATATTTTTGTAGTAGTAGATTTGTGCAAGAGAATGATTCTCATTTTCCCCATAGTCAAGTGAGGTGTGAATGAGATTAAAAAAAAAAAAAGATTCATTGATTGATAGAAAGAATGATTAACGCCAGGCCACAGTAACCAATATGGTATTCCACCCACTTCACATTCATGAGAGATTTAAATATTCAAAATAGTGCTGCAATTTGATTAATCTGTTGATTATTTTGTCAATAAATGGAAATTGGCTGGGCGAATATGCTCAATTAAGCAGCCAACAAAATACAATATTTTCTTGTTTTCTTTTTTTGTGACATTTTTTTGAATCTTTTTTGTGACTTTTTGTCTTATACTTTCTCCCTTTCATAATTTTGCTAGTGTAAATTGGGAATTTCTCCATTGTGAGACAAATAAAGGTTTTCTTATTCTTTTTCTCATTCTTGACTACTCAAGAAACCCAACTGTTTCTTTACAATTAATGAAAATGTAGAAGAAAATAACATGCCCTCATTAAAATGCACAAAACAAAGACAATAATGAATTATAACATTACTATTCAAATCATATCATAAGGAAAAGGTAACTGTTGGCTTTTCTTCTAATCCAGTTGCAACACTAGCCAGGTTTACATGGAGCCATGTTAGACCATGTTAGAATGTATCAGAATGACCAAACAGAATGAAACTGCTCCATATAAACACTTCAATCGGAATAAAACGGGTGGTAGAGTTTTTATATGGCGTGATGTAAACGGTGCAAGCAGAATAGCCAGCGTTCGGTCTGCGCATGCGCTGTCTTGACGTAATTATGCCATGACGTCGTTATAGACGCACCGTAAAATGGCAGCGTCTTACCTGAGTTTATTCGAGATCTTGTTTGAAAGGACATCCAACTTGTTTTTATCAAAATGTTGCGTTCATAAAAATGCTTAAAACTATCACCACTACTGTGCTAAAAAAGAAAAAGAAAAAAAACCCAAATAACTCAATTTTGATAAATCACATGATGTTTCCAACAATCCCCGCGTGCCGCATGGCTGTCACATGGCTCGTCTGATTAATGGAGTGAAGCATTTAAACGGCGGTACGGAAAAGATGTATACAAGTGACAAGAAATCTTCATTTGCAATGATTTCAATCAGACTGACGAAAAAAGTCTCCATGTGTACCCGGGCTATTGCGTTTCAGAGACCCCGCCATACTCAGATTGTGTGAATGCAGGTTATTGATTGCATTCAATAGGTTGGATGTTTACAGTGAGCAATATCTTTGCCCTTCACAGTACGGTTAACAGAATGTTCATTTATGCTTGCTTTATCACCAACTAATTGCTGCAAAGAAATATGATCAATGGCCATCCATCCAAATTCACAGCACTCATTTAAAACTGAGACGGGGAGCTGGCGTTTTGAACCGAATATTGAACAACAACGGGAGCATCCAATTATGTCACTCAGAATTAGATTCAACCGCCAAATTGAGCGAAAATATTTTTGCTTGGCAGATCCAAATATGTCAGCGTAGTAAACAAAAGTTGTCCTCCATCCACATCTCATCTTAGCTAATGCAAGCACCCGGATTCAACCTTAAAATACCTTGAAATTTTGACATTACCTGTCCATTAAATCATTTCAAAGCTGCTCTATTACTTTGATCAGATGAAAGGATTAGTGGCTGTGCTACAACAACTGTCATTTCTCCCCTGCTCAATCACAAGCATGCACATTGCATGACTACGCCTCCACAAATCCCTTTGATCGGTGAGAACAATTATTTAAATGCATTGTTTGGTAGCTATCGCTTAGTCCCACTGAATCTCTGCTCCCGTTTCTCATTAGAGAAATAACATAGATGCATTGCCATATTTGCATCCAGATAAGATGAAATGATGTCGTTCATTTCATTGCACATTAGCTCAACACAAATCAGCCCTGGAAAAAAAAAAAAAGCCGCACTAAGAAGATGTAGCACTTTATTTGGTCCATTATCTGATTCATAGGCAGTTTGACTTATGCTGGAGCTAGTGGAGGCTGCCTTGAACAGTAAAAGCATACATATGTGTGCAGCGACCAGGTCATATTTCACAGTCTCAACCAACCTTTACTTCCAATAAAGGAAATGTCATCAATCAACTCGTGCACTGGGGCAGGAGTTAGCGCTATATATTTTCACAATAGTCACTCAGTGCACTTCCTTGCCTCATGAGCTCGACTGTCTGTCTCTGGCTGTTATGGCAGTTCTCCCAGGCTACATTTTGCAGTGTTTTTTATGCTGCTGTTCCCTCCGCTTTTGGAAAGGAGGAGAGAGCAAATTAGCGTGAGTGTTTAAATTTGTTACAATTCAGGTCAGGGGCACTTATTTTTCCAACTGTTCTCTCAGTGGATTTGGTGTTGTTAGGTGACACAGTGCAGTGACTTGGCATTGACGCATACACACATACACACACACACACATATACAGTATATATATATATATATATATATATATATATATATGTATATATATATATATATATATAAAAACAACAAAATATTTTAGCTAATTGATTGCAAAATTTCCCACAATAAATCATATTTTTCCACTTCTACTTTCAGATGTTCCCTTGTATAAAATGTTGGAATTCATGGAACATCATCAAATAAAAAGTACACTTCAATTCGAATACTGTTCAAGTAACTTGGCTCTCAAAATTCTCCATACACACCTGAAACATACGCTTCGTGATCCTAGCCATCCAGTGGCAAACTGAAGCATCCCGCTTGATGGAAATGTAGCTATTAATAGTAACCTAACCTAGTCTCAGAAGTGCTACTAAACCTGTCAACTGACCCCGGTACCAAAGGGGCGGCCTCTCGACAAAGTCGGTGCGCCGTATTCTATGGTAGTGACTCATGCAATCCTTCACCCACAGCTTCGCGAATGGAAGTGCTCTGCATGTTACAGGACGTTGCATTTTTCATTTGAATGAGTGCTTCCTACAACGTGCGTCGATCACTGCGAGAGCACAACCTATATCTGGGAAAGTGTCATTTTCTAGAAGCCGAAGTGCGGCTCCACTCGGACGAAAGCAGATTAATAGTACGTTACTGCCTCCGAGTCTAAAGACAGATATTGGGATCAAAAGATTAGAGGTATTCCCTGTGGGATTTCTATCGAGTTTAAATGCAACTGTGACTGTCAAAGGGTGTGTAGACAGTTGTTTGACAGTTCTTCCTTACATCTTCTTTTTCTTTGTTAGGGTACAAAGCCTAGATACACCTAATATCCGTAATAAAACTTCACAGGTTCTTATTGAGGCTCCTACCGCATAATGTTATGTAAACATTTAATTAGTCAAATTATGACCTCTATAGCGGATGCGCCTGTAGGAAGAGAAATACTGTAAAACAATGCATACAACAAAGAC